AAGAGCGGTGGAAATCAGTCGCTGGTGAGGAACACACAAAAAGAGCGCCATAGATAGATAGAGAGAGGTCTCTTTTGTACATTACAAGGCCACAGAGACTGTGTATTCATCAAAGAAGAAGAGACAGAAAAAAAGCAAGAAGCCATATGAATTCTCAGTTGGGGTTTTCAGACAGGAAGAATGAGCCAACGCGCCAATGTCGGCTTCTGACCCCAACAAAAAACCCAACGGTTGAAGAATTGGGAAATCAATACAGAATAAAGGAGAAGGGAAGCTACTACTGGGGGGCACAACAAGCACAACCCTTTTTTTAAAAAATTGTATTTTTTATTTAATTTGAACGAAAATTTCACGTTTTTAAATAAATTTATTTCCATCTGTTTCACTGTTTCTTTCTCATCTTTCTTGTGGAAGAACATACGAGAGAGGGGAAGAAGTCCTTCATTTATTGAGAGAGGCTCTTCTTTTGGGGATGATCCTTCCCGTTGTAAATGTCCCTTGCAGACGTCCATTAATTCCTTTACTTTTATGAATCATCATCATCAATAATAATTATAATTTTGTTTTGTCTTTGTACGGGATTCGAATGATGTCTTAATCAATTACGAATCTCATATTGTTTCTTATTAGAGTTTCTAGGTGAGATATGCATAATATGCAAAAAAAAATTATAGAACAATGTAATTAATTACTAGAAGAACATTGTTGCTCGTCTTCTGAAGCTTTTGGAAGAGGCTTTGGTCACCAAATAGCCAACACCCAAACACATCACCCAAATCCCCAAATCAACGGCCCATCTCACCCCTTCGATCTCCGACGAGTCCATCTCCTCCGTCCATTCCTCTCCGCGGCACCGGCAGCAACATCCGCCGTCTGATTCTCTCTCCACCTCCTTCTGCTCCGGTATCTCCTCCATGCAATCGAACCCCATCCTCCTCCTAGTCCGCCGCCTCTGCCTCCTCGCCACCGTCGCCGCCGCCTCCACGTTTCCCTCCGTCGCCACCACCACCTCCGCCGTTCCCTCCTCCTCCTCCATCTCGCACTCGCACTCCAATTTCCACTTCTCTCTCTCGTCTTTCCTGAAAATTCCCTTTATGACCCTCTCCTCCCTCATGAACACCTCGAACCGGACCCCTTCCCAGACCCGCACCCGTTCCCGTGACCCGTAAACCGCCTCTCCCCCCTTCACGACCCTGTGGAGCGTCACGAAGGCCGGAGAATCGGGTCGGATCTTTGACCCGTCGAGCTCTAGAGCGGCCTCGTTGATTCGGGGAGGGTAGAGAAGCGTGAGCGAGTCGGGTAAGTGTCCCCGGGTGGGCAGGCCAGTGAAGCGCAAGAAGAAAGCTTTGATCTTTAAGCTCTCTCTCTCCATGTACTGCTCGAAATCCGGCGATCTGCACATTTTTATCTTCTGGGTTCTTCACAAAACCAATCCCTTTTTTTTTTGTAGCTGTCTCTCCTTTCCTTTCTGTGCTCTTTCGAGTTGAACGACGAGATATCAGTGAAGGGATCGGCTTTAAGAAGAAAAAATAAAGGTGGCGACTTTTGACGGAGACAGTGGCTATGGGTTTGTTTTTCTGATTCTGGGGGTGAAGAGCACGCGGTTTGGATGCTGACGTGGACGTCGCGACAAAAGATGCAAAATCGTATTTTGTTTCGTATTGCATGCATTTGTTTTCCCGACACTACGCTTGCGCTAGTTTCTCTGCTCACAAAAACAGCTGTTCGGTCTTTTTTAACGTCCAATGTTTTTAACAAATTTTAAAAAAATTAATAAAATATAATATAATGTTAAAAATAAATACATTATATTCAGATTTCATCTGAAGTTATAATTATTAGCAAAATTTCCACCTTCCAGCGCGGTAACACATCTGCTTCTATTTATACGAAACCCCGTTCCACTTAAATGAATCGAATCCAATATTATGATTTTAAAAAATCGTATTGGAAGTCTCCATGGATTTACCATGCGGTTTATCTATAATATAGTTTTTATGTTTATTATTATATTATATATACATATTTGTATATAAATTAGCCAGGGTAACTGATTCTAAATCACTAGAATACATCTATATCAAACGTATGTGAAATGTAAATAAATTGCATATATAGATGTATAAATTACGCCTACCACTTTATAACACGGGTTTGAACTTCTGAATGTATAAATTTAACTTAAATTATATTTATTTATTAAAGATTGCGTATCTTAATAAACTTCGTCGTATTTTCAGGGCGGGAATAAGAGCAGATTACATTTAATAATATGCACGTTGAATGGGTGAACGTTATCATCTTTTCAGCCCCTGGTTTTATTTTTCCTTTGGCCACTTGACTGCATCTTGCTTCGGCCTTAAATTTTCAAAAGACTTATATTATATATTAAATGGATTTCCAAAATCATTTACAATTTTTAAGTTTTAAAACTCACAGTATATAGTCAATCTTATAAAACAATTTTAAAATTTACTTATTTTTAAAAAAAAAATCTTAAAATTTTAAAATTTTCAAAAGAACTCCCAATATGTTTAAAGCCTGTTTATACAGTGTGTGCGCTTTTGTAAAGTCTTTTTTTTTTTAATACAATATCCATCCGAAAATTTTATTCCACGTGTCAAAAACAATTATCATCACTCATAAAAAGAAATTATAACTCAGATTTAGCAATGGGCCGAGAAGCAATTCGTGAGGCTGTGAGGTCCGTTAAATAAATGGGCCTACAGTCTAGGCTCAAATTAGGATGGATTTAATGGGCTGCCAAAATAGCTCGTAGATCACACATTTTAAGGTTTATTTTTATTTTTTTTCAAGTTGTCGAAATAGAAGGTGGCATTTTTTTTTGTTGGCTTCAATTGAGTATTTTCGCATTCTATTTCTAGAAACAACATGAGCAAAAAATCATCAATATCAATGGTTGGTTTGATTAAAAAAAAACGATCCAAAACTAAAGTAAGTGTTTACATTATTCGGGTATATTTTATATACAAGTAATTTCTTCTTCTTCTTTTTTTTTTGGGGTAAAGATATACAAGTAATTTCTTAAAAAAATTATAACGGTATATTAGATTTTCGAGCTGTTTTCACGGTGTTTATTTTTAAAGAAAATTGTTTATATCATATTATCTTTAATCAGAAATTAATTAGGAGGAAAATAAAAAGATTTGTGGAAAGGAGGAAAAAGACAGGTTGGAAAAAATGGAGGAGTCGTTGTCGTGAAAGAGAGTGCATGTTAGGGTGAGGATAAGCCGATGACTTTTTCTAAGAGTGAATGAGATTCTTTTGGCCAAATGGATGGTTGCAAAAATCGCTCTGCGTTTGAAATCTCTCCTTCGGTCTCCATCTTTTATTATCTTTCACAAATATATATATATATATATATATTTGTAATTTCTTTAAATTTGACGAATCTAATCATTGTTGTAGGCAAAGTAAGCTCAAATGAGCTTTACACTCT